GGTGAAGCTTCGCGGCGACAGTCCCTTGGACTCGGCGGGGAGGCCCATCCAGACTGACGGCCAAATGACTCGTTACTTCGTAGCTCTCTATGAGCGTCGTCATTGGATCGTCGAGTCGAGTGTGTTGATGGGTCTCCACCCTGACATTAACCCGGCTGCCACGCCCGCCCAGCTCGCTGAGGTATACGAACTGTGGCTGGTGTACAAGCGCGAGCGCAAACGTCGTAGTGACACCTTGCGATCTCTGGTTGTTGCTGTCTACGACCAGCTTTACTCGGCGGTCACTCAGAAGCTCGGCGATGAACCTGCTCCTCTAGTGGACGCAGAAGTTTATTTCGATCCGTCCGTTCCCCATTACTCTCCCGTTAACCTTTCGTGGGCTCCTTCCGGGAGAGATTGGGTCCAGTGTGCTCACGATGTGGATCTAGCCGAGCCCTGGCGAGCTTGGTGGCTGACTGACCCGGCGGTCCATCCATACAATACTTGCTTCCGCGCTCGGAACGTGGACTTCTTAGTTTTCGCTCCGCGCGGTATGGATCCTCAGGTTGTTGACGACGCGATTGAAGAGGATTTCGATCTTGCTGAACAAGCGCCTCCTGCCTATGCCCCAGGTGCTCCACCTCGACTGAATCGTCAAGGCATCCATATCTTCACTGGGTCTTCGATCGGTGAGCTCGGCTCAGATGGCGAGCGTGCGTCTGATGACGACTCGGCGGACGATGGGTTGGGTTCTCCCAATCTCCGAGGCGCGTCTCCGAGTATGTCTCTGTTCGGCACCCCACTCCCCAGTGGAACGGATCCTCAGCCCACTTCCGCCGCGTCGGATCCTGAGGCACCTGATTCGGCATCAGCTTCGTTGGCTAGCTCGGCGATGATACTTCTTGCCACTGCTGCGAATGTTGCATCTCCTTCCGCAAGTTCCCAAGGGGTGACGTCTGCTCCGACGCCACGCCCCCAATCGTCGAGTTCGCTGAGCTCTTCCCAGTTGTCTCCGTCGGATTCAACTCACTTGGAATCCGGATCGCCGACTTTTTAGTTTTCTTCCTTTGACTGGGCGTCCCGTAGGTATCGTTCAGGACTTCATTTCGTAATTATTCAGTATATGTAGTTTCGACACAGTAGCATTCCATCTCAACTCGGCCTGTGTCGTCCGCCGAGTTGGTGTAACTTTTGGTGCAATAGCTGTTAATCCTCATCTGCAACTTGCACCATTTGCAGACGGTTTTCGCGCTTCTTCTGTCGTAGATAGTCAAACAGGAGACCTCCGCATGACAAATTCGACAGTGGTTCCCAAGTAGGCTCATCGTAGCCGACCCACTTAACTTTAAACTTCCGTTGTGATCGTGACGTACTTGTGGATAATGGTAGCTCGTCGTCGAGAATTGCTTCGACTTCATACTGGTTCGTACTTGTGTCTGGTTCCCAGCTGTCTTCAGGCAGTAATTCTTCATCAAAGTCAAATCGCTGAGTCTCTTCGAGGTCGGCGATCAGCCTCGTCTTTGGTCTTCCGCCGAGTTCGGTGACTGCCTTCAGACGTGATACATGGACCACTGGGTAGAACCTATATCCACTCTTGTCGGGTAACTCCAATTCATAGGCGAATTCTTCCACCTTCTTCTTCACCCTGAATGGTCCATGCCATCGGTGGGCTAACTTCTTGGTCAGGCCCGACTTGACTCGCTCCATAAACAACCAGACTTGATCTCCTTCTTTGAACAAGGATTTGGTGGATTCATCGCCTGGTTCTGCAACTTCATCTTCGTCATCTGCTGTGTTGGGAATGGATCTTTTCTCCTTCTTGCTCAACGCTTCGTTGTGCTCTCGAGCTCGTCGTGCTTTCTCTCGCACTTGGAACTCAGCTGCTAATCGAAGTGCCACTTCTCGTTGTATCGCATGGGGCGGCACTCGACTGCGTCCGCCGAGCTGACTGGGCGTCCCTGTCCACGTCGTATCGAACTCGTCATAGCCTTGAGTGTAGACTTGGCGTCCCAACCATGCACCAGATAAAAAGGGGTTTCTCGCCGAGTCGAATCTCTTGAGTTGTTTATAGCATGTACCATCTTCTCGGCGATGTCATCCCAGTCGGCTTGAAGTGGGTCTTCCACGTAGACCCGTATAGTCTGAACCATTGTCTTGACTGACCTCTCTTGTTGACCGTTGGCTTGTGGTCGGTAACTCAGCGTAGCTCTTGATCTCGACTGCATCATCTCGGAGAACTTTTGGAAAACTTCACTCATAAACCTTGGATCTCGGTCGTGCCGTATCAGAGACGGAGCTCCGAACTGCTTGAAGACGCATTCCTCAAATACCTTGGCCACTTCGAGTGCTCCGGTGTCATTCATAGCCTTAGCGATAACGAACCCCGTGAAGTGGTCCTGGAACAGCAGCAGTGCAGTATTGCCCCGCTGAGTTCGAGGAAGGGGAATAACGAAATCCATTGACACGACTTGGAATGGATGGTCTGACACCACATTTTCCGGCGAATAACCTCTCAACTGTGGCTTGCTCTTACTGGTATTGCAGTCTTCGCAGGCTCTACCACGTCGGCGTACAGACCAATCCAGTAGTAGTCGGCTTTGACTCGGTGATACGTTCTGACGATGCCTTGATGCCCTCCTTCGATCGAGTTGTGGCAGTTATGAAGTGTTTCGTCGACCATGGTTGACGGTATCACCAATCTCAATGAGAGGTTCGGTTCGCCGAGTTCGCCTAGTCGGCGGGCTTCATCTCGGCGGTACAACAGGCCGTCTTCGCTGAGTACAAAGACTTCTGCGACTTTGCCGGCATTCTGAGCTCGACGGTGTGTAAGGTTCTCCACTTCACCTCTCAGGTACGCCTTCAGATCGGCCCACCTGAGTTCTTCATCTTGTGCCTTCGCGATTCGTCGTCTCCGCTCAGTCTGTACCGTCACTGGATCAATGTCGTTGGCATTCTGAGCTGTCTGGACTGACTCCATCTGCGACCTTGTTTCGACATTCGGGGTCGTGTGGTTAGTCCGCCGAGTCGACGCCCCGCTGACTTGTTCGAATTCATCTCCACTACTTTCAAACGCGGATTCTCCAGGATTTGTAGACATGGCTTCATGATCCTGACTTCCTCCTCTTGCTCTAGCCGAGTCTACATCCAGCTCGTCCTCAAAGTGAACTCGGCGTACTCGGCTACGAGTGACTGCCGTGACAATCGGTGTTTCCGCTGGGTTGCCTGTGACGTACAGTTCTTCGGCTACTCGGTTAATCATTCTCAGCTCTGCTTTCCTATCCGCCCCGAGAATTACTCGTCCAGCTTTAGCTTCCAGTGCTTCTGTAGCGAGAGAATCAGCCGCTGCGTTATAGTGTCGCGCTATGTGTCGATACCGGACCGAGTTGAGTTGTTTCGTGAGATCCTTGTGTCGAGCTAGCTCCACTTGCAACGTTTCCTTCTTGCATGCTATCACCCCCATGGATTGCTGGATTGCAAGCCGGGAGTCACCCACTATAATCAAATCAGTTATCCCTCGGTCAATCGCCGCCAATACTCCATTGTTCATGCCGGTGTACTCGGCGATGTTGACTGTGGTGGACGACAGGTACGCACTCGCAGCGATCTCAATGTCCCAATTCGGAAGGCGCCACAGTATCCACGAACAACTGCCATACCCGCCGTATTTAGCCGTCTTCGCTGAGCCATCAAATGACAGCACGCATCCTGCAAAGTCAGCTGGTATTCGGGCATATAGCAGCTCTGGGCTCATTCTTACTGTCGCCGGGGTCTTGGAGGGAGGCGCGAGGTATTTCAGGGACTCGTTGCATTCATCATCTTCCCAGTTGAGCTCAGCGGTGGCAAGCTTGGTCACGGTCTTAGGGTCTGTACCACTGACATGACCTGCTTTCTGCGAAGCTGTTTCTTCATCCACAGCGTGTTCTAACCTGTAGCCAATTCCGCCGGGGTCGAACACCATCGTCGCCGAGCTCGTTACTCCGATCTCAGTTCCAGTACCTCTCAACAGTGATACCTCTGATAAATCATAGGTGTCGTCCGCGTCAGGGCCCGTATTCGCTGAGTTCACTGCAATGGCCGATCTGACTCCTGCGTGCTCAAACTTGTCTCCGAGGTAGATGGTATCATTGTCGTGCTGTCTAACCACTTCCGAACCGGTTTCAGCCTCCATAGTCTCCAACGCTGAGTCCGCCGTAGCTGGGTCGTCGTTCGGCTTTATTCCTTCAGGTAGTAATACCTCCCGATTATCATAGTCCTTGGTCGCGTCGGAGTGATCAACCGCTGAGTTGGTTGTGACGGCAGAACTAACTTCTGTGCATGCAAACGCGTCTTCGGTATAGCTGGCAGCCTCACCGCATGCTGTGCCCACGTCCGAGGCGCTCTCAGTGTTTTTGTAAAACGGACGCAGAGTCCCCTTCCGCTGACAGAGTAATTCAAGCTTCCGGTGTCCCCGTAGAAGACAACAACGCGGCTGCAGAAATTCCTCTAACTATTGCAGCTTTGTCTACGTCGGCAGGGAAGAAACTGATGAGATAAAACGCAACAATAATTCAAACAACTCCGTAGCAGACAGCGCAAGCATGCTCAGCATGTGGATGAT